TAAATTCCTATCATTTATACGATCGCAAAACTTTCACTTTCCGCCAGAGGTGGCGCATGTTGCTTGCCTCACTCATCATACAATCTCAATTGTTGAATGTACGTGAAGTGGTCCAGGGGGAGGAAATACAAAAATAAGAATAGCCTTGCTGTACACTGAACATGAAAATACACTGTGTATCTTTGGTTCAAATGTTGTATTCGCATGCTATACTCTTGCCGCGGAAAATATCATAAAAATGCCGGTGAGACGGGGCCATGTTGCCCCTCAGAACACATTCATCGACACAATAATTCGAAAATTCGACGGTCAAAGTGAGTATCCATGACGTTTCTTAGATATTTCTTTAATTTTGTACGCGTCGACGGCCCATGAGCGCTCGATCAGCCGACGATCGATTTAAAATAGACAACATTGCAGCTAGCTTGAACACCATCGGCGATTCAGCCAAGATTGAACTTTTTATTACGATCGATCTTCATTAGTATTATTTTAATTTTCACCAAATATCTACATATAATATGTGTTCGTATTTGTAACAGATCGTAACTTCGTGATCGCCAACGCCCAAGTGGAGAACCGCTCGATTATTTTCTGTAACGATGGCTTTTGCGAACTCTGTGGATATTCTCGGGCAGAGGTTATGCAGCGTCCCTCGTCGTGCGATTTCCTGTACGGAGTTAAAACTAGCGAGCCGGCTGTCTTGCAACTCAAGTCCGCGTTGCATGGAAAAGAAGAAAAGCAAGTGGAAGTACTGTTTTACCGGAGAGACGGTAGGTTACTTTAAACCGTGTCTGTTTTGACAATGTATCAGAGCTTTGATTGATTGAAAGACGAGGTCTTTCCGGACCGTCTCAAATATGCCCCACCTACTGATCGACGGTGCGCTCTAACACCGCTCCGTCATGTCGAATTCGCGTTAATGGAAAGTGTATTTAAAATGACAACAATCACAAACCACATTGAACTCAGTGTTTACAAACAATATTCTTGAAAGCAACAACTGAATTACTCACAGAAGAAATAAAATGCTGCGATGTGACATAGCGTAGCTCAACGGTTAAAATTGAAATAACAAACAAATATCGGTAAACATAAATAAATACATTTCAACCCGTAAGTTTTGTATTGCTTTTCACAATTGGGTTTTGAACTATTGTATATTGGTACGCCCACGTCTTTTGAACGAATTGCTTATTTAGAACTGTCAAATACCAATGTGGAGTAAAATTCACTTCCACTTGCTGCTCGTGGACTCCTGCCATTAATTGAAATTGTGTGAAAACCGAAACCCTGCTCTCAGTCAGAATCCACTCTGCACACTGTAGGCACTTGCTAGAGTATGAACATTTTTCATTCTACAAAAAAACATTCCAATATTACAGATGTCTGTGTACTATCAGTCAAAATAATAGTTGCAAGCACTTTGTTTTTTATGGGTTAGTTTTAGTAGATTAAATAGGCACAGAGCTTGTTTATAGTGCATTTGATAATTCCTAGTGTGAATCTATGAACTGTGTTATGCACCATTGAATCGTAATTGTGGGGGAACGGTTATATAGAAAAGTACCCTACAAGGTTTCAAGTACGTGTTAAAGAACAAACAATCAAAGTAAACACAAATACATTGTGTCTTTGTGTGGGGGTAATTACAACAGTTATATCATTTTAAAACAAACAAACACACACACACATACAGATATGATATTTCTGTTGGTACTCAGTCATGCATTGTTTTATAAAGAGTAAATACCATATTTGCTCCATTAGTATCGCATTTAAATAACAGGTCTTTCCATGGATAAAAGACAATTTTTGTAAATTGTTATAGAACACTTGAAACTACTGTTTTGTAAACATTTAGAAAAAAAAAACTTTGTCATTTGCATTTCATTAAAAATCAAATAAGTCATATTGGCTATATATAGTTGGGAGGGGGAATTAAAGCATATGCTTAGCACAGCAAATGTAATCTCTTCCAATAAACATTTACTCCCCTTCCCTAAACAGAAATTTGCAAGTGCAAAAAATAAATGTAACCAATGTAAATGTAAACAACAACAAAACTCAAAATTGAAAACCACCTTTTACCCTCTCCTCCTAATTGCAAAGCACACAAAAACCTTACTTGTGTTTATCGCCTATTGTAACTATCTGCACCCCCCTATATTGCTCAAATGCTGACAGACTGATATATACACACACACACGCGCACATACGGAAGCACAACTCGTTGACAGAGACTTACAATGAACATATCATAGATTCTAACAAAAATAAACGCTAAAGTCTTTACATATGCTTTACTTGGCTACTCCAAAAAATAAACATTCCTCTGTTACTGCCCGCAACCTACTTGTGTGTGAAGTGTTAATTTTTGAGTGGATTTTAAGTAAATTTACGACCATATTTCAAGGACTACCTTCAAGGTCATTGCGAAATGATGATACTTTTTTGGAATTATCTTCAATAGGTAAATACAAAAATAATTCAAACACAAATTCTGATTGGTTCCCTGCAACAAATATTATATATCATTTTCACATCTGTTTTTCATGTCTATTTACGCCAGCGTTAAAGGGCTGAAATATGGCAGAGTTCAAGCCCTTTTGTCAGTGCTGGCGACCATTCACAACGGGCATTGCACTAACGGGCATTAGCATACTAAACTGAATATGTGGTTTATGTATTCCAAAGGAGGTGCTTGCAATGTGAGTCAAATTACCAACAAATTTAACATCTTGTACAAAATTACCATCAAAAATTCTAAAAATTTTGTTGAAAATGTTGGTATAAAAAAATTAAGGCCATCAACGAGTCAGTGTGAAATTTATCACTGATAACTAATTATCATAAATTGTTAAGTCTGTCTCGTAAAATACAAGTATTTAATGGAATTATTGATAGATAATATTAATCCTGTACAATTTGTTGAAGTATCTGATCTTCTGTAGAGTAGAAACTCAGATATTTAGTGCCCCTGCTGTTATATGCTTGGATGTAATCTTAAATGCACGTTAAAAATTCAGACACAAATCAAAATATGTGCTATGCCCGAGTGTTGGTTTGCGTCACACGCATGCAGTACATATTTACTATGATTTAATCTAGTATTTACCTTGCCGTGTAATCAATGTTATATACTTGCTTAACTATTAGATATATAGATATACGTGTTCTTTTTAGGTTTACTTATATGCTTCGTTCATTTGCCGCTGTGAACATTGCTTTAGTATGCATTGAATTGCAACAGTCGCAGGGTTTGCTTTAAATTGCTTTTTGTCGCTTATCGTTAGAAGGTTGTTGTCCAGTAGTGGGTCTCTTTCAATTGAATTTTGAACTGCAGAGTTGTCTATCAAGTTACACACCTCCCATGTATGTATTAAAATTAATTATGAATGAAAAGAACAATTTGAATTTGGTTGTGTGGGCTTAAAAGATGCATCTCCTGGTGATACACCTTGAATTTCAATATTTAGTGTCTATTGCATGGATTTGATACCTTGGTATTAAATTATATGTCTGTGCATATCTCAGATCTGAGCGATGATTGTTTTATTATTTAACACAATAACTAATAATTGAATATTTATGTATTACCGCGTTACTCGCTGAAAGCCGTGGAAGCCGAAATAGATGGGGAAAAAAGCTTCAGCAAGTGACGTGTTGTGGACAGAAATTTTATTTGAAAATAAAAAAAAATAAAATAAAAAAAAAATTTTTTAAAACATTATTATTAGATAATCAAAATATGGTATTGTCATGTTAGTCCATTAACTCCAATTTGTCTATTGTGCTGAGCATTTTCTGTTTATTACGCTTGTAATCAACCATACAGAGCAGAATTTTGTGTTGTTGAAAACATGCTCTGTCATACATTGCAACCAAAACGTGTTGTCATTCTTGACTATAACTGCTGACAGGAAAGCGATGACAGATGGAAAGCAATGGTGCATGAGATAAGGTGGGTGGAGTGGGCTCAGCTAGACTATGGAAAATTGATATATAAAAGACTTGAGTTATTAAAAAAGTCATTTGTGTATCAATTAACAAACAATAATATTACATGTACCTATATATAGTAAATGTCATGGATCAAAACCCTTATGAAGTACGGCATGCTTACTGTATACCGAAATTTTAACTTTATGGATTATTTTCTGTCGCTATAAAATGCATCAAAACCAGTCAAGTGAACTAATGAGTCATTTAAAAATTCAGCGATATTAAACGACCACACCTTATCTATGTCATGTATTCAGATATTATTAGCTCAATATTAAAATTGAACCCAAGAGGTTGAAGTTCAGGTGGAAACCAATGACGCATTAAAAAATGAAAAAAAAAAAATGTAAACAACGGTTTTAAAAAAGAATCGAATTGGCTTAATTTAAATCCTGCTTTCAGTAGTTGAATGATGTCTGTCAAATACTACATTTCCTGTCGTATACTAGATTGTTTTGTAATTATGACACACTGTATTGTGCTCCGTGTAACATGTATGGTTAATATTCTTTACGTAATACTAGTTCCCATCAGGTACATGTATAAATTTTTCACTAACCTGAAACACATTGAATTATCGGAATTTTTACATTTTGTCTTTATTATGATTGGCGTTTATTGCGTGCTGGTTTACCATGTATTTAGGTTTGGTGTGACAGAGATAGATGATATAAACATTATAACATATTTACACCTGCATTTAGTCTCTTCGGAATCTATGTCATATATATATAGGTCATGGAAGCCGTGTTTACATGCTAGAATTTTGAAAAATATCATTTTTTTTCAGATTTGTATATTGAATATAACTTGATCTACAAAGTATAGTATATATGTTGTACATGTCCATCAATTATTCTTATCAATTTTTTCTATAGAGATATTATTAAATATAAACTTTTGGAAATGTTTTTTTTTTTAAATATTAATATTCTAAAAATTATGATTTAATAATTATTCCATATTCCTGTTGGTTTTTTATCTTGCGTATAAATGTATATCTCGACAGTAACGTAATACAAGACAGACCTAAAAAAAAAAAATGACGAATTGTAGCAAATGTCACGAATCGTCACATAGCGTATTTGAGACGTTAACATGAAATAGTACACCATCATGACAACAGTTTTTCAGTTTCATTTTTTTCGGACAAGTTAAATATGTGCATGTGATACAAATATATTCCTAAATATTTCCACTTAATATGATGATGAAGCAGACATTCTTGATTTCTGCCCGAGTAGCGTCAATCATCATCTCGGTTAAAATAAGAGCACCGGCAGTAATCACTTATATTTGCTGACATTAACCAAAGAGAAAATATCATGAGGTTATATATAAATATCAACTACGCTTTGCTGTTATCAGACATTTGGCTCGTCGCCACGTATGAAAAAAGCACCTTTGATTTCTTCATTTGTCGTCACCATAGCCGACGTATGGCCAGATTCATGCCTACTAATTATAGTTATTAAAGCCTGTAGGCTGTGTGCGCTTATTCACTACGCAGATCTCTGTCAATGTAGTTTATACAGGTACTTGCTTGATTCATCAGTTCTCAGCTCGGGAGATCAAACTGCAGGAGTTTATAATAAATGAGTGCGTATAAGTTGACAAACACGTACATGCTGGATGCGTGGATATGTATCGAAAATATTCAGTTTTATATTCACTAGTGGAAATTGATATGATCTGAATATTTGTAATGTACATCAACACTAACTGTCAACAAAAATATAGCACTACTACATGTAGCACATGAAAATAG